GAAAATTAAAACACATCAGAAAAGAAAGAACAAATTTCAAGTAAACCTAAATCCTACCACTCAGAGAGAACCATTGTTAATATTGATTCAGATAAAATAAAGGGATATGCTACTCTTTTTTATTTTGACTTAGCTTCATGACTATTTTTGTCTATAATATAGACCTACCTCTTCTTTTATAATGAATGCATAGTATTTCACAGTATGTACCATAAATTATGTACCATAATTTAAGCATCGCTTTAAATAAAAGTTAGTTTTTTTCCAGTTTTCCACTATTATAAAGTGTCTCCATGAATACCTTTGTACATCTATGAACTCAATGCACACTTGTCCAGTTATCTCCTATAAATGGAATCACTGAGCAAAAGGTTATACATTTTTAAAATTTTGTCATAAACTGTCACATTTCTTCCAAGGAAGGTTATGCTAGTTTAAACTTCATCTACCAACAGTACATGAGAATACCCATTTCTGTGCTTTTGGAATTATTCTTAAATAATTGATTTTAACAACATTCCATATGCATCATTTGCGTCCCTTTCCCATTTTTAAATTTTAAGTGCAGTGGCAGCAAGAGAATTGTGTTCTTGGCATAAAGCTTACTGAGTTAATTTCAGTGCTTACAATCCATATGCAGAAAATCATAAACAAAAAAATAAAACCATCCACCACCCAGTCTAAATTTAGATGTGCGTAAGAACCTTAGGTTTATAAACATTAAGCTTTGAGTGCCTTAAAGTGAGTGGTGGAGACACTGAGTGTGGCGATGGTGGAGAAACAACAGAAGTCATTTCCTTGGATCTGTCAGTGGGCAGGCGGTATCAGATGTTTGGATTTCTTGCTGGGTGTACCTCATTTTTGCTATGGTGCTACTCTTTGGTTTATGGGAAGGTTTGGATAATTTTAGCAATGAGGGTTTATATTTTTATATAACTTGTTAGCATCCAGGTAGCATTTATCAATTGAACATTAAAGTTTAAACATTAAGTTCTTACAGAATAAGATGCATTAGCATGTAGATTTAATGCTCCTTATTTCATCTTTATTTCTCATATTTTAAACTTACTAGCTTTCTCTTTTCTTTAAGAAGCAGAAACTTGTGAAACAGTTGCCTTTAACTTCCATATGCTTAGAAACTGATTCACCTGCACTAGGCCCAGAAAAACAGGTAAGTGGTTTTCTAATTTCTACATTATTTAGATTGTAACTTTCATTTGAGCTATTTTCAGTTTTGCTGTGTTTCTCATTATAGTGTAAATACAGCGGAATCCTATTATAATGCTAGGTTGAGGGGTTATATTAACTTTATTTCAGGTTTTTTCTAAATATAGTTGTTGTACTCCAGTGAGTATTATTTGATAAGGAGTTACCAAATTTATGTAATAATGAGAGTCAGACCAGTATAGTGAAAAGCACAATGTCTACAGTCAGAAAGACAGATTCATGGGAGGCCGAGGCGGGCGGATCATTTGAGCTCAGGAGTTCGAAACCAGCCTGAGCAAGAGCGAGACCCCGTCTCTACTAAAAATAGAAAGAAATTAAT